GAGCAGGTAACAAAAACTGAAACAGGCGCTATTTTACCTGCTCTGGAATGCATGCAAACGCATCAAAACGCATGCAAATGCCTGGAATGCACTGAAAGCCCATTTTAAATTAAAAAAAAAAAATTCTTTTTTTAACCAAAAACAGACCTGAACGCATCAAAAACACGGCACACCCACTGCACTGCGTGTGCAGAAACACATGCAGATCTGCTCTGCATTTGGTGTGAACAAGGCCTTAAAGCAGGCACATATGGGATGATGATATTTATTTGTGTTGTGCATTTCCCCTCTGTTGAACATTTTAAAGGGTAAGAGCATTTTAAAACGAAGTGCATAATCCTTTTTGCCCCTCTTTGCTGACTTAAACATGCAAGCCTCCCCCCTCTTTAGAGATACTTATCATAATCCAATGGCCACAACCACTTATTGTTTATATCTTGTGCTAAAAGGCTTCTTTGCACTGGGCATGCCTATGCAGTTGCTTCACATAGAATTTTATGATGCCATCTCCTGAGCATCTCCAGCCTCAGGACACAGCCACACAGAAGTGTGTGGAGAGCTGTTACACAGGCATGGCCAGCACACAATGTAAACAAATAACGGAGACCCATTCCATCTTGTGATCATCTTTCTGTCTGAAGTGATACAGTCATGCCTGCTGCAGAGACTGTGCTCTAGCAGTGATTATCAAGTTACAAAAGTAGCACTATCCACCTAAACTTCTCACAGCTCATTAAAGTGATTTAACATGGCTTGCTTCAAATGGCTTGCATTTCCTTAATTAAATTATCAGAATAACTAATCACTTTGATAAATGTGCTTGATTTAATTCCTATACTATGCTCACATTTATTTTCTGGTATTTCCTATTGTTATATAAAACAAATAAGTAGGGGGTCTAAAATGGTAGTTTCTATTTCCAAAACCTCCTGTAACCAACTCCTATTTTGAATAGGATTGTCTCAAAAAATATTGTACTTTCCTTGGAAGGCTGTAAATATATCCATGTCTGACCTTGTTCTTCTCTAGGGATTGTGTCAAGGTCACTCCAGGTCTCTAGTAAATTGCCAGCACTTTAAAGGAGAACTATGAGGTGAGTGCTTTTCACTCACCTCATAGTTCTAGCCGACCTGTGGCAATGAGACTGTCACAGGTCGGCTCAGTAGATCGGGAGGTGAGCGAACAGATACCGGTGTTCGCTCACCTCTCGATCCTGTCACAGCTCTCTGCCGTGACAGGGGAGGGGCTGGATTCCCCCCTCCCTGCTCCGATCCGCCAGCACTGACTGGCGGATCGGACGGGGGAGGGGGCGGGTACAGCTGGCTCTGCCTCTAGATATGGCGGATCCAGACATAATTGTGGGGATCCGCTTCAGCTGTGGCGTCTCAGTATACCGCGAGCTGTATTGACAAATTCTTATTCATTAGAATAACACAGTGGTCTAATAAATCATTATGCATCATATCGTGTTAAAGTGCATCATTTTCACAACTGATGGAAACACTATCAAATGTGTACTCGTATGTTGGATTCGATAAATGATATAGGAATAGTAATTTCTTTTTACACCTGTTAAGTGATTTTTGTAAATTTACCTGTAAGGTAATTTGACTTTTTTTTATGTTTTTACTTGAATGATTGGACATTTGTATAATTGTATTTAATGTACATATTTGTTCTCTGAAAAGTTCTCCTTTTCAGAATCAGATAGTATGTCAGACAATGCAGTCAGTATCTTTACTGAATTATTGCGAATTATTGCTGCAAGAACATTAGTTACAGCATATTGTTTTCAGTTAAAGTCTACACTTGCTTTAGGCCTGAAAAACCTAGGCGACAGCATTAGAAACACGCATTTCTTGCTGCACGTCTTTGCTCATTGTTGCACATTTTTATGAGCAGATTGTGATACATTGATGTTTCCTATTGACTCTATGGGGAAAATAGGCTCATGTACTTTTTCCAGCGAAAGACGTTTTGCTTATTGTGACAAAATGCTTACTGTGAATAGGGTCTTGAGGTAAGAGGTGAAGCACAATATTTACTTTACTAAGAAGCACTACAAGTAGAGTATATGTAATATACATGTTTCCAGTGTTCCATTTCCCCACCCGCCCAATTGATAACACAACTTAAACAATAAATCAATAAATGTAATATATATATATATATATATAGTGTAATGTAAATGGGTAAGCTGTATTAGTCCAGTAGAGAAGATGTAAAAAAACAAAACAAAACGGAGTATTGTAGTATGCGATGATACCTTTCTTATTGGACTAACAAAATATATAAAAGACAAGCTTTCGAGAGTTAACCTCTCTTCTTCAGGTCAGAAGCAATACTAATCAACATGACAACGTTTCCATACACACATCCTTGTCAGCTTCTATGGTGGTTGTTCAAAGATGGTCCTTGAAAAGGGCTATGTTAGCCTTATGGCAAATCCTGGTTTTGTGGGAAAGATGGATGATAATTTGTAGACTGTACTGTTTTCCTGTTTTTGCATATTTATAATTAAGAATTTAAAAAATCCATGTTGTTTTTTTTTGTTGCTATTTGTGTCCTGCTGGGGATATTTCTCTTCGCCTCCTATCCTCGAGACTTTGAGAGGCCTTTACATACACACCAATATAATGAAAACATTAATGCGAAATTTCCATGTAGAGGCTCAAGAAGAGCCAAGGCAATAAATTATATACGAAATGTACTACTTTTACCAGACATTGCTGACTCTGGTCAGGGAAGAGAATACTCCAACACAGCTGTTGCTGTCCAATAAATCAGGTTGAGAGCCATTTCTATGATACAGTATGAATTATTTTCCTATTCCTTCTGAGGGCTGTTCACACCACAGCTTTAGTACTGTGCATTTAGGGCATGCTATCATACAGCGCATCTAGTGTGTGGTACTATGCACTACGTGCATTGCATTGCCATTCAATTAAATTGCATCCCAGTGCTCGTGCCAGCGGCTGGTAAAGTCTTTCCTGTGTAGCTATGGTCTTCTGCAGTCAAAGAGCCGAAAAGTGTAAAAATGAGCAGTGAATGCGCTACCCCAATGCTTGCAGAGTCCACAAAGGATTGGAATAAGACAGCCAATGCAGTTCTGGGGTTTAGGCATCCCCTTTTAATCAGGGCTTAAATGCATTATAACCTCATTGAGACTGGATTCAGTGATAACTGTAGTGCTTGTATGATCAAATCAAAAGGTGTTGGCAGCATGCTGTGCAATCTTTTAAATTCCTTTCTGGACTCTACGAGTATTGACCTGTTGCTATAATTGCTTTTCTTACATTTCTGGACTTCTTCCAGGACCTCTGATTGGAGGCACTGTGACACATGTGAACAGCCTCAATGGTGCTAGTCAGCTTGATTGAATCAATGGGTCACTTGTGATATTGGTTATTAAAAACAGGAGAAACAGCACCTCCTACACAAGTACTCCACCCATTTATGAGTAGCTGCTATACACTCGCTGAGTACCATAATATTTGCTGCTTAGCATTTTATGCCTAACTTGCCAGTTCTAGTGTAGACTGGGTATACTCTTGATACTGGACCTCCGTTTACTAACAAAAATCTTTATACTGATTTGATCTTTTGATTGATTATACCTTCACAGGCTTACATATGACAGTACTGTTAGCAATATATTTCCCAGCTCTTTGTTTCATGTTGTGAGTTACCTTTGAAATTATTTTCAATAACATCGAACCTTACCAAATACGCTCATATGCGTTCACATAATATTTATGGAATGAAGCCATTATGATCATGAAGTTTTATAGTTGTATACTATAATTCAATTTGAGCAATGAATTACATTAATTATACAATATTTGATCATGTTGCTAGTATAATCAAAATCATATTTATAAAATTGTTTTGGACTTTGACAGTTTAATTATGGAAGTGAGGAAATTAATTCCAATTATTTCCAATTAAGATCTCAAAAGAAAAGGCAACTCCAGCAACTAGTAGGCTAAACATGACATTAACTGGTGTTAGGATTAGCTTTGGGTTAGTATTAGGGTATTGAGACTGAGGTACGGGTTTAAAAATATTTTCATCCTTTCACTTTTGAGCTTTTATTTGTAGTGCATTATTCTTGATGGACTTTCAAGGTTTTAATCTAGAACCTTCCTTTATTTTCCCATTGTTACAGAATATTGCCAGTATTACACTGGACAACTGCTGTAGACTCAAAGCACCAGATAAGGCTCTGGATAAGTTTCACCATCCTAGAATGAGAATGAGATAATGCTATACACTATTAGAATTACCACTGGTTAATAATATCTAGCTCCTATTCTTTACCTACCAAAGACTGAAAATTGAAAAACAGAATAATGTGTTAACATATGCACCAAAACATTATATAATGTTAAGTAGGGATGGCCTGAAATTGTGGCCATTGAAACATTTTGGCCGAAAATGGTATTATGGGCAAAATGCTGATTCCTAGCTCCCCGCTGGGCGTCGGCTGCAAGCTTTACTCTGTTTCCCCGCTGCTCTCTCTCAACTGTGTCGGCAGAGGCAGCAGGGATCGGAAGGGACACAGCCGGATCCAGCTGCGGCACCCAGCCGGGAGGAGAGAAGCTGTCAGAAGACCGAGCAGGCGATGTGGGGAGAAGACAGTTGTCAGGAGGCCAAGCGGGGCAGTGTGGGCAGGAGACATCTGTCAGGAGGGCAAGCAGGGCAGTGCGGGAGGAGAGCTTGGCTCCTGTGACAGGCGCCATAGCAAGAGCAAGCTTACTATGTCCTGAATGAACAGGAAGTGCTCTACATAAAAAAAGTCATTTTTGGTTAAGGCCTGACAAATTGTTACATTTCGGTTTCGGTCTAAAAATGTCATTTCAGTGCATCCCTAATATTAAGTAGTAATAAAGAAAAACTAGGCAGTAAGAAGTATTACAATTTGCATCAAAACAATATATAATATTAAGCAGTAATAAAGAAAAACTAGGCAGTGAGAAATATGAAAATGTAAGTCTTACCATAGAGTCCAATCATGTCCACAGTATGGCTGCACATTTCCCAGGTAAAAACCTAGAGACTGAGTAACATCAACTAGGTTAGTAAAGTCCAGGCTAATACTGTTAAAGAGTACAGATGTCATGATGATCTCATCAATGGCCCACACATCTTCCCCTTGTCCAGAATGGTATGGCTGCCACCATCGAAACTGAATTCCAAACTGTTTGGCTTCTTCAGGCAGTTCTACAGATATTATTCTGGAAACCAACAACAAACTATTCAGACAAACTTCAACTGTAATGACTTGAGAAATTATCAAAACATATACATAGCAATAAACAGTATTTCCAGGAATGTTTACGTGAACCAAATTATTTGCATTTTCCTGAAAAAGAAAATCTAGTTTAATCATATTTTTTAAAAAGTGAACCCTATTTTTTCCAAAGTGCCTTCCATTGTGGTTAAGTGTGTAGATAAATAAGTTAGGCAACTGACTCCTAATGTTTCTGTAAGTGCACAGAGGCAGAACAGCAGCAATACAGAATATTGTCAGGGGGCAGGGGCATCTTGCAGAAAACTGGGGGAACAGCCGTTTAAATCCATCCGACGGCACTGCCCCACAGGAACAGGCTATCTGCTATCGACAAAATGACCAACCATTTGAGTGCTACATGCATGAGGAAGCACATGACTCGGTGGGAACAGCTCCTAACTGGGTCAAGACAGCAGTTAAAAGCATGCACTCCTCCTAACTTGCTGCATCTCCCTACCTCCACAAAATTCTCCTGCTGCATTCACTGCAACAATTTCGGCATCCAGTGATACGGGGTGGTGTCTCACAAGGTGTGTCAAATGCGTGGCGTACTCTATGTCAAGTGGGGAAGAGAGTCATGAGGCAACAGTGACGAGGGTAAAGTTAAGATTGGAAGCTACGCAGCATTCTCTTACAACTACCTCACTGTCTTCATCAGCATCCTTCCTCTGGTAGATGTCTCTTCCACAGTTACTGAAGTGGAAGATAAAAAATGTCCCCAATCTACCCCCCATGCCAAGTGTCTTAATACCAACTTGTCATTACAGCTCATAGAGTCAGTCCCATTCCACGAGTTTATGGTCTGTGCTACATCATAGTGGCAGGTATCAAGTAACTATCCCTGCCCTCCACCAGTATGTAGAATGTAATGTCTCTGTTTAAGTGGACCACGGTGGCGGTGGCAGGTTACACATTACCACAGACACACGGTCCAGGAAGCATGGGCAGGGATGCTATATATATATTATAACACACAGTGGGTAAATCTGCTGGTTGCTGGGAAAGGTGAGGGACAGGGATCACTGCCGGAGCTACTGGTGCCAACATGTATCAGATGTTAACAGCAGTTACCTGTTCCTCTTACTCCTCACTGGACTCATCTCTGACTCCTCAGAAACAAAAGTCCCTCCGAGCACCCCATAGCATATGCAACATACAAGGCTAAATGCTGCCAAGCTGTGTTGCAGCTCATATGCCTGGGGAACAGGACCCACAACGCACCAAAGCTGCTAACATGTTAATAATAGAAATATTAAACATGTTATAAGTAAAAAAAATGAGAGATTGTTGAGCCAGGGAAAATCTGATTGCCTTATGGGATTGAGAAAATAGTTTTTCCCTGTTGGAGCAAATTCAACCATGCTCTATATGGTTTTTTTGCCTTCCTCTGGATCAACTGTGGGCATAGGATTGTGTTTATGGAGGAAAATTAAAAAACAAAACCAAAAACAGAATTTTCACTTGCCCGTTACTTTATTATTGAAGTGAATAAGCACTTCATTTTATTCACTAAGCTATGTGAGTATTCTCTACTCTTTAGTACAAAAAAAACTTGATACCCTTTTATCAACATATATACACATACTGTATTATATCAACAGTGGGAGAAAATTCTTGAACAAGATTTGTTTAAAATTGCAAACCCACAGATTGTAATGTCCCTAAATATGCTTTTTATGTGACTGACACCTTCTCTAAAGTTACTAAAATCTCCTTGTGAAAACTGTATCTGCTAATGAGCCAGCATTATACAAACTGCAAAAGACCTGTATGTTTAAGATGCATCTGAATGCACTGTGATACTTCTATACCTTTTTTAGAGGTATCTGGGTCTATTATTGATGTGTTATCAATCTTTGGAAATGCAAAGAATTTGCAAATGCACCAAAACATATAAATGTACATGGCCACATGAAAGGTAAATTACATACATGACAGCTAAACTTAATTATCTAATTTACAATGCATGAGACTGTGCTGCATGGCCAATTAAAGCAATAAAACAACTATTTATTTGAGTGTATTAGAAATTATTTTGAACATTAAACTATATGTGTTTTTCCAGTAGATTTGAGTGACTTTTAATGTATTATGCATGGGTTTAGTCACCTGAAATGAAAGAACACAGTCTATTTACCAACATGTAAAAACACCATAATACATTAGCATTACAAATGTCCTCACATGCAATTTACATTGTGATTTATTTTCAGTGTATTCCCACCAGTTTTACCACATGTGTTAATGTGCATTAAGTATACAAGATGCACTGCAGAAAAAAAAAACTTGTGTGTACTGGCAAATGAAATGGATGCTTTTTTTATTTAGTAACTATAAAATAAAGAAATATGAATATATGTATCTGGGTATTCATGCATATTCTCTATTGGCAAAATACAGGTTTCTTTGAAATGCGTACATATTCTCTTTCCTATATTCTACAAAGATAATTGTGTCAAAAGCAGATTATAGACCCCTGAAGTGTATAAATATATGCTTCAGTGTATGGAAAACACACCCTAAACTATTCCTACGGGTGCAGTCCAACGTGTAAAGTCATTTGATTTGCTGTGGCAGCTATGACAACAAATGGCCTCTTGACAAACGGCAAAGAAAATTAAGAATAATATCTAATCTCCTGCAGCAATTACTGCATATGGTAGTAGAGCAAACACTGCACAGTGCTGAAGTAATGTCATTTTTCTGAACAGTCAGTAAATTATTCATTGATTTGGTTTGGCCCCAACCTGGTAGCAGGTGACAAGTAAAACATTTGTTATATTGTGACGTGTAATTAAGACCTACAAATCAATGGAATGCTAGTACAATATTTAGCTACCTAAATAAGATTAAGCTATGCTAAATAACTGTAACAGTAGAAGGGAGAATTGTATGCCACTGGTTTCTAAGGCCTTCTTGGACTATACTGTGTATTTCATCATCAACACTGTATTCCTTGTGAAGTTTTCTTTATATATATATTTCCCTGTAAATTCCGCGCAAGACTGAACAGCCTGTTTGTAAATCAACCCCATAGAGTCAAGGTTTTTGCAATTATATGTAACCTTTGTGCTGTTTTACTGGAGCGAAGTATGGGTTGGAATTGTGCCATTTTGATTGGATTTGTCAAGGAACTTCATTATTCTGCCCTGAACATCAAGAGTCTCTCCACTAAAGTCAACCTGGATTTTTATTTAACAGTCATACAGATAACATATAACTAAGAGCAAAATGTTTGTGGATTTGGATAGTGGATAGGGGTTAGAACCACTGTCAGGTGTTTGCTCTCTGTGTCCCTATGAGGGACAATCACTCTTTCTAACTGTCCTGATCACGAATGTCACCGGGAATGAAAGTGAGGTAAATCCAACAATTTGAGTTGCCACTAGAAGAGAAAATAGAGGGGGAATCTTCCAAGGGGGACAGTCTGTGTAAGAGAGGATTTATCTCACATTGAAAATATATATTCACATATCTTGAATCTACAGGACAGGGAGTGAAGGGAAATCTCCAGGACAGGAAGTGAAGGGAAATCTCCTTTATTAAACACAGATAGCAATAGAAAAATGACTACCCTCCTCCAGTCTATCTAAAATGAAAAAAAAAAACATTTTGTCTTTAAATATAATTTAACTGAATAAAGCTGCAGCCAGTAAAGTCTGGTAAAGTGTGTAAAACAAACAGGAGTGTAAATATTGGATGATTATACGTATTCCATAAATTTCTCCTTTTGTGAAGTATTTATTTGTAGGTCTCCAATTTTAAAATGTTACATTGAAAATACCAGTTGATGCTGATACATGTAAGTGTGTGCTTACGAGTCCCAATTGTTTATTTCTGCTATTCTGATAACAAACTGCCATTCTATAATACAACAGAAGTCAATAATTTAATGCTACATCCACTTAATTTCCATATCAGTATCAAGAGAACACAACACTCAAGTTAAAGAGGAATTATTTTAATTATTGCTATAATACCCCAAATAACTGTGTGGCTATGATCTTATAGTATTAAATGTCAGACCTTCAGTCTAGGAATTTCATCATATTGATAGCAGATTTATGAATAAGGCCACAGTACTTTGTAATACCAGACACAGGCTACAACACACAGACGTGTGTGATGTGAATGATGCATAATGCATGTCTCGCTCCTTTTCATTATGTGAAATATATGGATGTTGAGCTGAGAGCAGCATATAATGAATCCCCTTAGTGTTCTACATTATGGGACATAAATCCCAAGCAGGCTCATCAGTACTTTAAAATTATATTCCAAGACTAGCTTGACACTTTGTGGATAGTTTTTGGATTATATTGTAGTAACATCTAACAGTTCATATACCAGTCACAGATTGACTTTACAGTCAAACCAATTTCACCCTTATGATCAATTTACAGGTCATCTAAACACATCTCAGATTTTCCAGCAGAATCCAGTTTTAGGAAGACCTGGGTAACCACATTTTTTTTAAAAGGTCAATGTTCCTAAAACTGTCATTTCATGTTTAGTAGAAGCTAGACAGTTAATTCCCCTAATTATTTTAATTTATTTTATGTCTTGGGGACTGTAGTGAGATCTCTGCACTTACATTCCTGGGTATGCACACTGCTGTGGTAATTCTGAGGATGTCCTACTCTCCCTGTCAAATTATGAAAAATACAACTGAGTGGCAACATTGCAGAGGAGTGGGAAAACCCAAAATCAAAGCCAGAAACTAGAGCCAGGGAGATATTTCTGCTCAAGTCCTCAAGAGATATCAGAAGCTAGCTCCTGACTCAGCCCATCAAAGTCCACTTTTAACTTAATTATCGTTTTTGGGCAGCATGACCCTTTATTTAAAATTTTCTTCATGAACTCATCTGACAAACACAATGTCATAACAAAACCTCCAATCAGAACAAGGCAGAACTGTATTACAGAGTTGAACTGAAAAAATAAGTTTTAAAGGACCGGGCACTCCAGAAGGTACTAAAGGCTGGATAATTTTGCGCTGAAGTTGCAAAAGGGCCAGACCATTATAAATAGGTAAGCAGGTTGTTTACCACGACAGTAGAAGTGTTTTTTATCTGAAGATATGGGTAAACAACGCAATTTAACAGCCTTTGAACGTGGGATGATTGTTGCCGCTCAGAGCCATGGAGCAAGTGTCAGCAAAACAGCAGAATTTGTTAAATGTTCAAGAGCAGCTGTTGTTAAAGTGTTTAAAGACTGGACTGTCAGCCGAAAATCTGGGTCTGAACGTGTGAATTGTGGCCGTCAGCGACAAGTCAATGTTAGGGCAGAACGTATAGTGGCAAGACTGGTACAGGACAACGGAAGGGCAACAGTGCATCAAACTACTGCAGATCTTAATCAGGGATCCTCTCAAATGATTTCTGAACACACTGTTCACCGTACACTGCATCGTATGGGATATGGAAGCAGAAGGCCTGTTCGAACACCTTTGCTGTCTGCAGTTAACAAGATAAAACGTCTCCAATTCGCACAGGAACACAAGGATTGGACAGTCGAGCATTGGAAAAAAGTCATGTGGCCCGATGAATCACGTTTCCAGTTGCCTCATGCAGATGGCAGAGTGAGAATTTGGCGGGAACAGCATTAAAGCATGCACCCCACTTGTATGAGTACAATCCTTCAAGCTGGTGGGGGCAGTGTTATGGTTTGGGGCATGTTTTCCTGGCATGATTTAGGCCCCTTAATTCGTGTGGAACAACGTCTGAATAGCACAACATACCAAAGTATCGTTGCTGATCAAGTTCATCCTATCATGTTGATGGCGTATCCGAATGGAGATGGCTTCTTCCAACAGCACAATGCGCCATGCCACGGTGCTCGTATTGTGCAGGAGTGGTTTCAAGTACATGAGGGAGGACTTACCTTGCTTAGGTGGCCCCCACAATCACCAGATCTCAATCCAATTGAGCATTTGTGGGACAAAGTTGAAAGAGACATCAGGCAGCTGGTTCCACAACCATCAAATCTCACAGAACTGGACAGTGCTATTCATCAGGCATGGTGTCAGATTCCTCGCATCACCTTTCAACATCTCGTGGAGTCAATGCCAAGAAGAATCGCCGCAGTATTGAAGGCAAAA